AAGATATAACTCAGATCTCTGCTGCCCAACTCTTGTCAGAAACCCAGTAACAAAGACACAATACTGGCAACAATAATAATATTTATGGAGGATTGCCTGCAGAACACAAAACTTACCCATTCCTATCAACAATCTAACTTTCTACCCCAGTAAGCCAGACCCATGAGTGCTGCATTTATGGAAAGTTCTAGTTGGCCCTTTTTAGTATCCACCCTGATTCTGGGCTGAGAAAAATAGCAGGTATGAGTCACTATAGCATGTCTTATAGAGACGCTGTCCAGGATCACATCTACTCTGGGGAGAAATTCCTCTCATTGCTCTTCATCATTCATTCTGATATCATGAAAGCTGAACATCTTAAAAGCTGGTTTTATTTGAGAAACAATGCCATTTCCTTCTTTGATTTGACTTTAAGGAAGCTCAGAGTGAAATATAACTCTATCAGTTGTAAAATACCTTACAAAGTCACCAGTAGCAAAGATGTGTGGAGCACGTAGTATATGCTGAACATGTTTTATGTAGTCCTTTTCACATATTCTCCCATAGCCCTGTGACATGTGTGTTCTTCCTCTGATATTAGGCTGAATACTGATCTCCAAAGATGTCCACATATTAATCCCTGCAACCTGAGAACTTTACCTTATGTGGCAAAAGAGACTTTGCAAATGTGATTGAGGATCTAGAATTGGGGGGCTGATCCGAATCACAATTGTCCTTATAGGAAAGAAACAGATGGAGATTGGACACAGAGCAAGAATGCAATGTGATTACTGAAGCAAAATGCTGGCTTTGAAGCTAGAGGAAGAGGCCATGTGTCAAGGAATGCAGGTGTACAAGGTGGAAAAGCAAGGAAGCAGATTCCCTCCCAGAGCTTCCAAGAGAATGAGCCCTGCCAGCACTTTGACCTAGAAAAACTAATTTTGGATTTCTGACCCACAGAAGTCTGAGAGAATAAGTGTGTGTTGTTTTAAATCACCAAATAGAAACTTGTTACAGCAGCAATAGGAAACTAATACACCTACTTTTATATGAGACCTAGAGATTATTGTCCAAGGGTTTGAAGGAGGTTTGCTGACTCCAGATCCTAAAATTTTATCCCTCATGCTGCCTCATTTGTTGTGTGTGTTCTGCCCTCTCTTGTCTTTATGACTCCCCGTAGTCAGCTTGGGCAGGTATAACAAATTATCATAGACTAGGGGGCTTAAACAACCAATATAGTTTTCCCATAGTCCTGGAGACTGGAAGTCTGAGATCAGGATGCAAGCAGGATCAGGTTCTTGGTGAGGGCTCGCTTCCTGGATTATGGAGGGCAACCCTCTTGTTGTGTCCTCACATGGCAGAAAGAGAGTAAGATCTCTGCACTAATCCCATTTATGAAAACTCTACCCTCATGCCTTAACCACATCCTAAAGACCTCGCCTCCTAATACCATCACATTGGAGATTAGGATGTAACATAAATTTGGGGGGAGACACAAACATTCAGTCCATAACACTTTCCTTTATTCTTTCCTCATTCTGCTTCTCCCTCTGCTGTCTATTTCCTCTTCCAATCATACATATTTCTGCAATCTACCTCATACTTTTGTGTATATTCTGGGGGCAGCATGTAAGTAAATGCACTGGTAGACATTTGTGGGATGTGCATGGAATGGTGTTTCTGGGCTTTTGTAACCTGACTGCATTTGTTCTTTCTTTTGCTTTGGTAAAAACTGACTCTCTTTTTTTTTCCTGTATCACTAACAGTTGGCCAGGGCAGGATTTACTCTTCGTCAGAAAATTATACTCACTTCCTGGTTAGTATGCAGAGCCCAGTAATGGCTTAGAAGATTCCTTCTTTCCCCTGAAGAATATTAAGGTATCAGAATGATGCCAGCTCTGGCTCTCATTGTTTCTTTCCTGATGTATTGCTTCTCTTGGCTACAAACTCTATTTCCAGCCTCAAATGGCTTCCAATCCAATATCCACGCTCTTATTCACTACCTGAGGGATCTTTCCAAAATGCAATCTTCTCATTGCCAAAGGAAGGCAGCCCACCCTTGTCTGGGGCCTTGCCCAAGTTTCTCAATTCATTTCGCACCCTCCTGTGCTCCCAGAACTTCTACTGTTTCCTGAACTCTGTGCCTGGTCACATCTCCCTGCCTTCGCACATGCCACTCTCTCTGCCAAAATTCTCCCCCACTTACCACTTCTTGCTTTCACTTTGTCCACTGATAAACCTCTAAAGAACAGAGAGATTGTGAGCATGGGTGCTAGAGTTAGGCAGGCTGGGGATCAATTTGTTTCAATTCCATAAATATTTACTTTCTCTGTGCCCCGGGGATAGAATTCTGCCACTACTAGCTGTGTGGATGTGGAAAAGTGGCATCTCTAACGTCTCTAACCATTGGTTTACACATCTGCAACATAAGAATGCACTTAGCATGTCCTTCATGAACATGAGATGTTATCATCACTATTTTTTTTTTTGAGTTGGAGTCTCACTCTGTCGCCTAGACTGGAATGCAGTGGCAGTTCCCGGCCACCGCAGCCTCGACCTGCTGGGCTCCGGCGATCCTTCCGCCTCAGCCTTCCAAGTAGCTGGAACTACAGGTGCACGCTACACGCCCAGCTAATTTTTTGATTTATTGTAGAGATGAGGTCTCGCCAAGTTGCCCAGGCGGGTCTCGAACCCACGGGCTCAGGCAATCCACTCACCTCAGCCTCCCAAAGCGCTGGGACTACAGGTTGAGCCACCAAGCCCAGCTCACTATTTTTTAAAATACCTTTTAACTTAGGCTTGGTGGCTTCTCCAACAGATTTAGATGCCATCCTCACCCTCTTCTGACTACCACATCTCCTGGCACACAGTTCCTGCCTTCATTATAGCCTTTTACACAAAGCATTTGATCTGTTGTTTAACTGTCTGATTCCTCTTACTACTCTTGGATGATAACTGTATCTCCTACTTTCTCTTATTCTGAATGCATGGAGCAAGGCTTGTCTGGGGCACTCACTAATGCACGCAACAGTTTCACCTCTGGAGGAAAGAGCCATTCCCAGGTGGACTTGAAAGGATGCACCAAGCTTGGCTGCTGGTGAAGGTGAGTCTGGGAGACAGACCAGTCATAGCTACATTTTAACTGAGGATTAATTGAGAAAACCAGCCCTGACCAGTTCCTTCATCTTGAGTCTTGCTTCTCATCCTGCACCTAAAATGAATGAAATGGCAGCGGTCCAGTGTCCCAACCCAGGGAAAAAGGGAGAGGACCCAAATCAATACTTCCAGCATCCAGCCATTCATCCATTCTCTTTTACTTAATTTTTTAAAATATTTTTGTGCACTTCAATGTTTCTTCTTTTCAAAGGTATGAAGGCAAGTTGGGCAAGTGGCTCTGGTGACCAGAATGACCTCCTGGACCTCTCTGGGTGGTTCTTTGAGTGGCAGTTGTAGGATCAGCTATTTTCTCAAGTGCTACACCACCATCGCTCTCTAGCTTAGACTGGAGCCAACTCAGATGCTTCATCAGCATCTCCTTGCCACCTCCTGCAGTTTTAACAGTCTCCCTCCAAAGTGGCAGGTTACACAATGTTGTCCCTTTTCACAAGCCAGTCCCTCTAACTTGAGATGCTATCCTGTGGTGGGGCTCATTTCTCCCCACTCAGGAACCCTCTTATGAGGTACATTGTGTCGCTCCAATTTTATGTGCTGAAGTCCCAACTCCCAATACAGCAGTGTCCTCTTACCCAGGGTTTCACTTTACAAGGTTTTAATTACCCTTGGTCAACTGTGGTCCAAAAATATTAAATAGAAAATTCTGGAAATAAATAATTCGTAAGTTTAAAATTGAGCACTGTTATGGAAAGTGTGATGAAATCTCATGCTGTACCATTTCATCTCACCAGGGGCATGAATAGTCCAGCCTTACAAGGGACAAGCTGTCTACACTATACTCAGTAGCTGTCTCAGTTATCAGATCCAAAAATCATAGTATATATAATGGGTTCAGAACTATCGGTGTTTTCAGGCATCTGCTGAGGGACTTGGAACTTATACCCAGCAGATAAGGGGGACTACTGTACCTCAGAATGTGACTCTATTTGGAGATAGGGCCTTTAAAGAGGTGATTAAACTAAAGTGAAGCCATTAGGGTAGTCTCCAACCTGATATGATTGGTGCCATTGGAAGAGATGAGGACACAGACACACACAGAGGACCACGTGAAGACACAGGGAAAGGATGCCATCTACAAGCCAAAGAGATTGGTCTCAGAGAAACCAACCCAATCTCAGGAGATGAATCTCTGTTGTTTAAGTCCTCAGTCTGTGGCACTTTGTTATGGCAGCCCTAGGTTGGTTCTGACACTGATTACTGCTGTTCACTGCACTCTATTCACTGAATTGCAGTTTATCTGTTGGCACATCAGTTTGTCCCACAGGGGCAGCAATCACGTCTCGCATGCTCTCATTATCCCTAGCACTAGAGAAAGCCCTGGTACTAGCAGTTGCACAAGCGGTGCTTGCTGAATTCACAAGGGATGCTGCGATAGCAGGTGCTCTGAAACAGTCATCTTCTCTTTAAGCAGGAGTGATCTTTTCACTCTCCTTGCAAACTACATTTATAGGAAAGGTAGCCCAGGTGTACAATTTTGGGAAAAGGGCCTACCGGAGGCATATTTTTCTAATAATCAACTGATAAGTCACAGAGATTTGGTAGGCACATTGATCATTTTGTTCCTTCTTTGGGCTCTGGGGTAGTAGTTATATTTAGACTCCTAACTTCTCTTTCTTGTCCTCTTTTTCACTCTACTCAGGCCAAACTCCCTCCTATCCCCTGGCCCCCACCTCTTTTTCCCAAGGGCTCCCAGCAGTCCTTGGACCTCACAGACCTACGCAGGTGGAGAAAGTGTTCAGTTGCTGCTCCCCTCTCCCCTCACCCACCCCAACTAAGCTCTTAAACAGCCCACATCTGTGGGCCTTAATTTCCCCATCAACACAAATGAATGTTTTGAAAGACCTTACCGCAACTCTGGTAGAGCATTTCCAAGCCCCCATCCCTGCAGGCTATGTGTGTGGGCCAAGCTTCCCTGCTGCCGCTGCCACTGCTACCTTTGCAGGGAGAAATCAGAGTCCAGGCGAGGAGGGCGACTGTAAAACCTTTCATGGTGAGGGCCTGTGTGTGACCAACAGAAAACTAACAGGCCCAATAAAAAGGCCTTAAAGTGCTTCCTCTCCCCTCATGAAGGGGGTGGCATGTTCAGTTTCACTTCTCAAATTTGAGAGTCCTGGGGAGGCACTGACAGAAACAAAAGGCAGTGAGCTCTAGAGGCGTTTAAATACTGTTCCCCCGGGACCTTAAATCTGTAGGGTGAGGCTGGTCTGGTTTGGGTAGGGTGCTTTCTCCGAGAGGGGACCAGCAAGTGATGCGTGAACTTACGCCTCCGTCCCTCAGAATGGCCCCCCTTGAAACCTCTACCCCCAGGTGGAGCTATAAACTTGAAAAAGACAAAACACAGGCCACCATGTGTTTCCCATCAGTGGGTCCCGTGTCTCTGCAGGCTCCTGACGTGGGCTGTGGACCGGGGACCTGGCTGGGACCAGCAGGCAGTTTTTGGCATACCGAAGGCTACAGGATGACACTTGGAATCTGGAGTAAGGCTTTGGCCCTTTTGCCACTTTTCTCTCCCCCGGTTTTGGCTCTGCTCTTAGAATTGGGATTTCAGATGTGAAGTGTCCAGCTGCAGAACAGACCTTATTTGGGGAGCGACAGATGTGGTCTCTAGAGCTGAGGTGGAAGGAATAGTCCTGAGAAGTGAGCCACGTTCTATTTCTGGGTTTGGACTGGTGGAAGCAGTTGGGAGAGTAGGGGTGGTGGGGCCTCCCTCCAAGGCCGATCATTGATGTCACATCTCACTATCTTCAAAGCCAATATTGTGTCTTCTTCTTCCATGTATCTCAGCTGTCCTGCTTGGGGACGGCAAGGCTTCTCAATCCTGGTTCCCCACCCCTACCCCTAATCCATGTTAGTTTTGTTTTGTTTTGTTTTTAAATGAGAAAGCAGGATTTATTGAGAGAACAGAAAAGCTCCCAAAGTGGGAGGGAACCCGAAGGGGTTTCCCTAATCCATGTTAGTTTAAGAGAACCAGAGTCAGGGCCAAGGCCAGCAGATTTCAGGGGCAGCAGACATTATTTTCTCTGGGAGGAAAAGTGTTTGAGTGCACTAAGTAAATTGACTATTTCCACCAATGTTACAGAAAAATTAGGGTTACTCTGAGGCCGGGCGCGGTGGCTCATGCCTATAATCTCAGCACTTTGGGAGGCCAAGATGAGAGGATTGTCTGAGCTCATGGGTTCGAGACCACCTGGGGAACTTGGTGAGACCTCATCTCTATAAGAAGTCAATAAAAAAATTAGCCAGGCATGATGGTGCATGCCTGTAGTTCCAGCTACTTGGAAGGCTGAGGTGGAAGAATCACCTGAGCCCAGCAGGCCGAGGCTGCTGTGGCCATGAGCATACCACTACACTCCAGCCTGGGCGGCAGAGTGAGACTCCAGCGCGCGCGCGCGCGCACACACACACACACACACACACACACACACACACACACACAAAGAATTAGGGTTACTTTGAAACTTTTTTCGAAGTAGGTAGAATTTAATTATCAATAAAATAAACAAATACACTGAATTGATTGGTGAATGATTTGGGTTTCCTGAGGACCACCAGAGAGTGGCCATCTGGGGAAGGTACAGGTGTGAATTGATTTCTTTTGAGGTACTCATATACAAATAAGTTTAGTAATGTTGGCTTTTAATAGTAGTTCTCAAAGTGTGATCTGGAGATATGACAGTATCAGTGTTTTCTGGGGAGGGGGGAGTTTGTTAGAACTGCACATTCTGAGTGACACTGAAGACCTACTGAATCAGAAACCCTGTGGGTAGGGCCCAGTATTCTGTGTTTTAAGAATCCCTCCAGGAAAGTCTGGTGCAGTATCAAGTTTAGGAACCACTGGCCCCAAAGGAGAGGTGGGTAGTTGCTCTAAGAAGAGACATGACAGCCCCACCTGGTCCAGGTGAGTGGAAGACAGCTGTGCTGTGTGAAAGATCTCAAGAGGTGAAGGTTCAAAGCTCATGGTGAGAGTCATGACCCTGGTGGAAGTGTGGTCCAGAATGGAACACAGAAGCCTTCCTTTGTGACATTTGAGTGCTCCATGACTTGTTGAGAGAGCTCTGAATATGAGTAAGAAGAACAATGGAGGGGAAGACCTTCCTTTTCTGAAAAGTACAGCATGATCAATACCAGCAGAGGAACCCAGGAGTGCAGAGCAGGGAGCAGACACCCTGGCAGAGAGCTGTGAGCAGCCATGGGCAGGGAAAATGTTTTAGTCTGTTCTGTCTACCATAACAGAAATACCTCAGGCTGGGTGGCTTAAGTGACAAACATGGTCTCACAGTTCTGAAGGCTAGAAAGTCCGAGATCAAGGGACTAGCAAGATCTCACTTACGGGTTCACAGATGATGCCTTCTTGCTATGTCCACACATGGTAGAGGGTGCAAGGGGTCTCTCTTAGGCCTCTTTTACAAGGGCACTAATCCCATTCATAAGAGATCCACCCTTATGACCTAATCACCTCCTAAACCTGTGCCTCCTAATACCATCACCTTGGGGGTTAGGATTTCAATATATGAAGGGGGCCACAAACATTCAGTTTATTGCAGAATCCATGTTATCCAAAGACAGGGCCACAGATTTTTGTAGGATCTGGCAATGAAAATAATTCAGGAATTGTATTAGCATTTGGAAATCTTCAACATGGACCATTCAGAGACCTGTGTTCATGGTGACCCTAGGACAGTGATTCTCAGACTTGAGTGAGCATCAGCATCAGCAGGAGTGCTTATCAAACAGATTGATGGGCTTTGTTCCATGGTTTCTGATTCTGTAGGTTTGGGATGGAACTTGAGAACATGTAGTTCTATCATGTTTTCAGGTGACGCTGATACTGCTAATCTAGGGGCCACACTTTGAAAACCTCTCCTTTAGGTTGTAGGATTTGGTGTTTTTGCAGAACACACAATTTTTCAAGAGAAGTCTTTTAAACAAAATGCTACTCTGTTATAGGACAGATGGCATCTATATTACACATAGCACACTCATATAGGAAAAAGGAGTAAGTAACTTTCTCTGAGGATTTCTGCTTACTTGTTCTGCCTACTGGGAATGATTAGTTATGGCCATCTAGTTCAGAAATCCAGTCACAATGACATCTTGAGTAGTCTTTCAATTTTTTTTTCTTTGAGTTGGAGTCTCACTCTGGACTCTGGAGTGCAGTGGCATGCTCAAGGCCACTGGAGCCTTGAACTGCTGGGCTGAGGTGATCTTCTGCCTCAGCCTTCCAAGCAGCTGGAACTACAGGCACGTGCCACCATACCTGGCTAATTTTTTGATTTATTGCAGAGATGAGGTCTTGCCAAGTTGCCCAGGCTGGTCTTGAACCTGTGGGCTCAGACAGTCCTCTCACCTCGGCCTCCCAAATTGAGAAATCTTTAACTAGAAGCTTTATGACAATAAAAGTATTCTTTGAGAAGGTCCTGTTCCCTAACTATAGCATTTTAAAAATCAATTTATGATAGTTATTTAAAATACAGTTATACCTATGTCATGGTAACCAAATCTACTGCCAGGCTTTGATACTGCCTTTCAGGCCCTTAGCAAGTTGTGACTGAAGAAGCTGTGCTTCTAGCCTTGTCTAGATGTCTACTTTTTGGGCAGCCTTCTTTGCTGAGTCTCATGCTGCTCCTTTTTCATAAGGTCTGCTTGGGGATGGTGCCTTTCTTTTCTTCCAGGGTAAATATGTCCTTATCAGGATCACACTACAGGACAGTGTGATCACTAAAACTGTTCTGAATAAGACTGCTTTTTTTGTGTCTGAGGAGAGAGAGACTTTAAGATTCAAAGGTGAGACCCTGGGGGAAGGAGTCCAACTAGGTAAGTGAGTGAGGGTAAAGCGGCTTCACATGAAAAAGTACAAAGGGAAGAAAGAGAGAGTCGGAGTGAAGGGAAGGAAGGAGGAAAGGCGATGGGCAAAAGGTTAGTGTGGAGTGGAGGAAGAAGTCTGTCTCAGGTGGGATGAACTGAAGGTCCCTTAAGACAGATTCTGAATTGTTTGCTGTGCAGTGTGCCATGTGACAGCTCTCTCCACTCTGTGATCCACAAAAGTTCAGTGGAGATTTATACACCCAGGATGCTGTGTGTGTGTGTGTGTGTGTGTGTGTGTGTGTGTGTGTGTGTGTGTGTGCATGCATGTGGGGGAAAAGGGGAGAGTGTCATACTTGCTTCAGTGTGGTGCAGTGTGGTGTGCAGCAGAGGTGAGGGCTATGGGGAGGATACAGCCCCTTTGGGAAAGTGATTCAATCTTGGGGTGGGCATGACATTTTCCCCGGGCACAGAAGGAGGTTCAGGTCAATTTTCTCTATATCACATGTGCCAGCAGATGGCAGAGAGCCCTAACTATTCTTGAATGCTAACCACGGATGACATGGCACTCTGTCTCCAAAAACAAATGTGTCTTCCTCATTATTTGTGTTCAACTCTGGCCATTCTCCTCTAATTCCCTTCAGATTTTTATAATATCAGGCAAAACCTTCCCTGTCTTTAGCACCATCATTTTGCAGTGCTTTTCTCTGTGGCCTATCTCTGAGTTTCTGTCACACTGCAGAGAGAAGAGACAGTTTGATCTCATCTTGCTTTTGTCTTGTAGGCTGAGCACAACTTAAAAACTACTCTCCTGTTGTATAGAATTCAGGCAGCCATACTACTTCCTGTGTAACACCATTTAACAGCCCCTTTGACTGACTGCTGAGGTTTACTCTTTAGCTATTTTCACACCCTCTGTTACATGGGCTACATTAAAATCATGTAGAATTGATGCTGGTCTACTGAGCTTTTCAGTAGAGTCATTCTTACAATCTCTCAGTCTTATGGAAGACACCCTACAGAAAGTGTGAGATGCTCACCAAGTCCCTTGGGCTCTTTATATTACATATTATGTGTATGCATCTGATAGAAAGTACAGAAACCAGCTGTCAGCTTTCTACACAACTGAGAAAAAAATCATCTGTCTACTTGCTTCAGATTCATTCACTCATTTATTCAACAAATAT